CTATTCTATTCTATTCTATTCTATTCTATTCTATTCTATTCTATATTCTATTCTATATTCTATTCTGTTCTCTTCTATTCTAATGCTGGGAGTCTAATCAGGAGGAGATTCGGGAGCACGAGGGTTGGCCTCTCTGGACAGGAGAGACCCAGCTGGAAACTCACCAGGTAGGGAGAAAGCCGCGACCAGCCAGCCAAGGCTCACAAGGACAAATCGCCCCATGGTCTCCTTTTCCTGCAGGGGGGAGCAGAGAGGGGCAATTGGAAGGGGAAGTGAAAGCGGTTCAAGGTCCCCATTAGAAAGGGGAGCCCCCACTTTCAGTCTGTCGCTCATGGTCATGCAACAGCTTTGATGGGAGCCCAATGACTCTCACCCAGTGCCTGTCAGCGTTCCAGCAAACCTCCCTTCCGATCAGTAACTCCGAGACCAGCATAATCTCAAAAGTACCTTTATTAGAATAGCATCTGGCACATCTGTGGAATCCCGAATCTAAAAGTTTCTCAGACATCCCACAATGTCCCAAACTACAATCCATCCCCCTTTCCCCCATCATCACATCCCATGGACCAATCACGGTCTGTTCCAGTGTAAGATCCTTTTTCTCTGCTGCGCCACACTTAATAACCTTGAACTAAGAAAAGAATTTTATTTTGCCCACTTAGAACTACTCAGTTGAAATCACACACCCCCACACACACCACTTTCTCAGGCTAGGTGGCAACGTGGAATATGCTTCCAAAGGTATCAATGGCTGCACTCAGGAGCAGGAAGACCTCTGTCATAGAAGAGGAGTGTCAGGTCCCTAAAGTTTAACTGCATTGTCTGGGAGAATTCGGACTCTGCTTTGCTTGTCCTGCTTTCACTTCTGCCCAATAAAAGGTTCCTTTTGAGATGCCCAGTTTCAAGAGTTTTCACCTTCTTGAGTCAGGAGGAGAGGCGGATCCTTGCCAAGAGGCTCTAAAGAGCCAGAAGGCATCAGGACAAGAAGCAATGGGTGGACACTAACCAAGGAGGAAACCAGCCTGGAATGAAGGAAGAACTTCCTGACTGGGAGGACAGTGAACCAGTGGAACAGAAGTTGCCTCCAGAAGTGGTAGATGCTCCAAGACGGGAGGGTTTTAAGAAGAGATTGGACAAGCGTTTGTCTGAAATGGTAGAGGGTCTCTGCTTGACCAGGGGGCTGGACTAGAAGACCTCCAAGGTCCCACCAACACTCTTATTCTGTTTTGCTCTCCCAGAGATTCCCAAGCGATCCCTTGCTCCCTGCCATAGAGAACCTCCTCCAGATTTCCTGCTGGAACCTGGGAAAGAGGTCCCTTCAGGCAGAGAAAGACACACAGGAATGATCTTCTGCAAGGACCTCACCTGCCATGTCCCCACAGGTGGGAGAGCATTACTCACCTGTCCCTAGGAGGTTTCAGTCCTACTCTGGGTCCTCGTCTGGGGGGTTGAAGCCCCAATAACCTCCCCGAGGTGGAGATTGAAGTAGGATGATGTTGCTCTGTGCAGAAGGAGAACATACAACGATGTCTCCCAGTCAAGTCTTTTATACCCCCAAACCACAAAGCCCACAAACTGAATATCAGGGTGTCAGCTGTTGCCCTCTTTCCCCACCTATGGCTTAAACTTTTATAGCAGTTAAACAGTAGAGAGAGGTGTGTGTACATAAGTTGGCCAAAAGCTTTCATAATACAACTGCCATTTCAGCGAGTTGATACGTTCTACAAACGTAATTTAGTCATGTTTTAGCAATATTTGCAAGGTTGTGGTTTGATTTTTCCTGCCCACCTTCTCTCAGTTCAATTGGTGACCATCACTGTGCCATTTAGGATTGTTCAATACAGGGTTGACGTTCACCTGAACGGATATCCCATCCCTGGGATGGGGAAATGGCTGCTGAATTCTGGAATAATGAGAAGTGGACATTTTGATGACCACCTCAGAATTTATCGTGTTCCAAATCTAATGATGCAAACAAGCTGTTTTCGGGTTGTTAATCAGGACCAGAAATCCTGAAGCAATGCATTTTTTTAACTCAAGGAGAAATTTCAAGGAGAAAATTTCCTAAGAGTGAGATCAATTAATCAGTGGAACAAGTAGTCTCCAGAAGTTGCGCGTGCTCCATCAGTGGAGGCTTTGAAGAAAAGATTGGATGCCATTTGTCCAAATGGTATAGGATCTCCTCTCAGGAAGCACGGCTGTCGTGTAACTCCTTGACAGTAAGCCCACCCACTGGAATCAGACTTGAGATATTAAATTTAAGAGGATCACGTCGCCCAACACAGGGCTTCTCTCTGCTGGGCTCTGCTCTCAAAACAGAGTGGACTTGTCTGCCTTCAAGAATTTTCTCCCTTTGCTTTGCTTCTTTCGGCTGTCACACCTACACAAAGGTGTGTTGGTTTATCTTGATGATATTCTTATCTACACGGAGACTCCTGATGAACATGTGAAACTAGTGTGGTCAGTTCTGGAAAAACGTTGAGCTGCTGAGCTGTATGCCAAGTTGTCCAAGTGTGAATTCCACCAGGAAAAAATTGACTATTTAGGTTATCGCATCTCACATGATGGCATAGAAATGGATCCAGGGAAGGTTCGTGCCATTTTGGAATGGGCTTCTCCCCGCACCAGGAAGCAACTTCAAAGTTTCTTGGGAGTCGCTAATTTTTACCGTCAATTTATCCCTGCTTTTGCGAAGATTGCAATGCCTATCACAATTCTCCTAAAAACCAAACGGGAGGTGAAACCAAAGCCTAGTAAACCCCTGGAGTGGTCCATCGAATGTCAAACCGCTTTTGAGAAGCTGAAACGACTAAGAGATAAGAGATGCTCTAAAACTTGATGATTGGTTCCTTGCTCACTCAAATAACTGTACGGTTAAAGATGGATTGGCATGGGTGGGGGCCAAATTATATGTGCCAGCGAAGTGGAGAAACCAAACATTACAGCAAGCTCATGACTCTAAAGCCGCTGGTCATTTTGGCTTCGTGAAAACCTTACACTTAGTTGAAAGGCAATTTTGGTGGCCTACCTTGAAAAAGGACATTGAGACTTATGTAGTTAGTTGTCCTATTTGTGCCTCAGCCAAACGGCCTCCTGGTAAACCAGCAGGATGGTTACAAAATGTGGCTAGACCAACGGCTCCATGGACGGAAATCTCTATGGATTTTATAGTGGAATTACCTGAAAGTGGGGGGAATACAGTTCTTTGGGTAGTAACCGATTTGTTTTCCAAACAGGTACATTTCATACCTTGTCCGAAAATCCCATCTGTGAAAACGTTGGCTAAACTGTTTATTTTAGATATCTACAGGTTACATGGGGTTCCTGAGCGCATAATCTCAGACAGGGGTGTCCAGTTTACCTCAAACTTTTGGAAGGAGTTCCTGAAGTTATTGGGCTCCGCCCAGAGCTTAAGCTCTGCCCACCACCCACAAACCAATGGGGCTTGTGAGAGAACTAACTCGGTATTGGAACAATATCTTCAATGTTATATAAATTATCAGCAAGATCATTGGGCTGACCTATTGCCATTCGCTGAGGTGGCATATAATAATTCGGTACATAGTAGTACTGGGTTTACTCTGTTTAAAGTGGCTTCGGGACAAGACTTTGTACCCATACTCGAGCTTCCATGGGAGAAACCTAACATTCAGTCATTAGATGAATGGATAACACAGCTCCAGCTTACCTGCCCGGTTACCCGTAAAGCATTAGGTGATGCTCATCAAGCTCATAAAAAAATTGCAGATAAAAAGAGAACTCCACAAAAACCATATCAAGTGGGTGACAGGGTCTTTTTATCCACCAGATATTTGCAGACTACACAAAAGTCAAAAAAGCTTGTCCCTAAGTATGTTGGACCTTTCTCAATTGAACGAATTGTGAACCCTGTGGTTGTCCAACTGAAATTACCAAAAACTGTTTGACGGATCCACTCTGTTTTCCATGTTAGTTTGCTAAAACGTGAAAATACCTCCGACTACATTACAATCACAATTAACACGTAAAAATCAATACAAAAAATATGTTTGGTAAGGAAGCCAAACAAACGATACTAATCAAGGAGGATATTAGTGGCTCCGGGTTGAAATGTGGGCTCCTTGGTGCTCTCTGAGTTTCCTTGGTTTCTTATAGATGGTTCCTTTGCTTTTTCTTCCGGTAATCCAAAACAGTTTATATTTGGTACCGGTATGATTTGGTTCCTCTGTGGGCATGAATACTTGCATGGCCCATGGTTGCCCAAAGTACTAGGGTGCCAGTCAGTGGTGGGATTCAAACTTTGGTACTACTGGTTTTGTGGGTGTGGCTTGGTGGGCATGGCTTGATAGGTGGGGCAGGGGAAGGATATACTGCAAAATCCCCCTTCCCTCCCCATCCCACTAACCTGCTTTCCAGCTCCATTCTCCTGTGCAGAGCAACCAAAGAAGACCCGGCCGATCAGCTGTGGGCATGGCTTGGTGGGTGTGGCATTCTGTGGGCGTGGCTTGGTGGGTGTGGCTTGGTGGGCATGGCAGGGGAAGGGTTTACTGCAAAATCCCCCTTCCCTTCCTTCCCCACCCCAGTAACCTGCTTTCCAGCTCCTGTCTCCTGTCTCCTGTGCAGGTCAACCAAAAGAGACCCAGCCGATCAGGTGGGACTCAACGGGAGTCAGAGAAGAGATGGGGTTGGCGGGCCCAGTCAGAGGAGGCATTGACCGGTTCTCCCAACTACTCAGCATTTCCTGTACCGGTTCTCCAAAACTGGGCAGAACCTTTGTAAGAGTAGAAAATGGTGCTGAAGCCCATCAGATTCTCAACCCTCCAGTTAAAATGAGGAGGGCGTGCAAGAAAGCATCAAAGCATCGATGGATGGTCTTTCTGAAGAAACATCCTCTGCCCACCCACCCCTTTATGCCAAGGCTTGCCATGAAAAAGTCTCGAGTAAGGAAGATACACCCTGGCCAGTGCCTCTTTCAACTTTAAACATTGGGCAGAAGACACGGAAGTATAGCCAGCTGGACAAACAGGTTTAAAAACAGCTTCTACCCAAGGGCTGCCATACTCCTAAAGACAATATAGCACCACAAACAGATTAATATGACAAATTTCACTGGTGCCAGTGTAGTGTCCAATATGTACATACCATGATATAAGATCATACACCAGATTAATATATATGTTGCACGGAATATGATGTACATATGGAAATGTATGACTGGTTTTTTTCAACCGTTTCCCCGAAAATACAACCTACCCTGAAAGTAAGTTCTAGCTTGATTTTTACACGTGCACCCAATATTAGCCCTACCCTCCAAAATAAGCCCTAATTAAGATCCCACCCACTCCAGGGTGCACAGGTAAAATTAAGGTAGGGTGGGGATGGGGAGGTGGAGCTGCCCTACTACTTCCCTTTGGACAGGTGTAGGCAGGCCTTGCACACCCCAACGCCTGCCTGGCCGGCCCATTTCTTCTGCAGCCGGCAAGGCTGGCCAGGCTTTCCTGAAGGCCTCTATAGTAGCTGAGAACAAAGTTCTGGATCGATCCTGAGCTCTGTTATTGGCTGCAGAGTCCTTCAGGAAGGCCTGGACAGCCGCAGAAGAAGGCCTCTAACAGTGAAAAGGAGGCCGGGGACGATGCGTGCAAGTGAGGTTAGTCAGTGGAGGACATTCCCCCAAAATAAGACCTGGTGCCTTTTTTGGTGGCAAAAATAATACAAGACAGGGTTTCATTTTCAGGGAAACATGGTCCTTGTATAAGGATTATTCTTTATATTATTCATGTTGTCTTGTATTCTCATAGGGACTGCACCATTAGAGGCTAAACCAATTTCATTGTATACATGATGTACAATGACAATAAAGGCTTCGAACTTCTCAGGAATCCAAAATGATAAAGGCAACTCATGCAAGACAGAATTTTATTTGACCTTCTGGCCCACCAGAAACCATCAGATCCAAGCTACAGGAAGTAAGCCAAGGGGTGGAAAAGAGAGATTTCGGCAGGGCTTCGGTGCTTTTCCAGGCTTCACCAGGGGTTCCCCTCACCCTGGAGTATGGAAGAAGCAACTGGCACTAGGGTTTGCACTGGCAAATGAAAGGACGCAAGTAGTTGCAAGGGTGATCATTCCAGAACATATAACCTGGGCAGGAAAAGAGAAAGTTTTGTAGTTACTCCCTCAGAGTCCCAGAAGAGTATTTTTTAGATCAGATTAGATTAACAGAGCTGGAAGGGACCTTGTAGGTCATCTAGTCCAACCCCTTGCCCAAGCGGGAGACCCTACACCATTTCTGACGAATGGCAGTCCAATCTCTTCTTGAAAGCTTCCAGGGATGAAGCTCCCACACCTTCTGAAGGCAGCTTCTGTTCTAAGGGTTGATTGATTCCAATGGCTCCCCCCTCTTTTTTTAGCTACAGGTAGTGAACTTCATGTGCTAAAATGGACCTACCTAGCCATCAAGTCAAACCAAGGCAACCAGAACTTTCCTGTCAACCTTTGCTCCACTACAAGAGGGGATCAAAGAGCTTTTCTGGCCCATCTCATTGGCATATAAAAACTGGGCAGAGTCTTGATTTCACTGTTAAAGCTGCTAATTTCTCCTTGTGTGTGTGTGTGTGTAAAATCCAAACAGCATCCCTGGATGATGGGCATGGGCACCAATATATTGGCTTGCAAAGGGGTCCCTCGATTAGACATTGTAGCTTGCCCAGAAGAGCAATAGCACTTAAGACTTATATACCGCTTCATGGTGCTTCACAGCCCTCTCTAAGTAGTTTACAGAGCCAGCCTGTTGCCCTCCAATAATCTGGGTCCTCATTTTACCAACCTCGGAAGGACGGAAGGCTGAGTCAACCTTGAGCCAGTCAGGATCGAACTCCTGGAAGTGAGCAGTGAGTTAGCCTGCAGTGCTGCCTTCTAACCACAGCTCTTAAGCTTCAGTGTGCCATGGCTGCACTTCTAGCATGTTGGCCGAAATGTGCCAAAGCTGGCTGGGATTGTCCTGATTCCTCAGCATGGGAGTTTGCTTGTAGCACAGATGCGACAGAGGCTGGTAATCCTACCTGCAACCTTCTCTACTTCACTGCAAAGCGCATAAGGAAAGAGTTATTCAAATGTTTCTGGGGAGTGTAAGTTTAATATAGGTTTAACTAGCTGAACAAACACAGAACTTGCTCAAAAAATGCCTAGATATATGGAGGCGGGTTACACTGGGATTCAACCAGTGTAACTGTCAGAATTCCGGCAGTTACTCCAATTAAATCGTGAGCCTCGAGCTACATTCCCAAAACTAAAGAGGATTTATTTGAAGGTAACATTCTATGTCCGTCACTAACCTGGGCGTAGCCGACTCTGAGATACGTAATTCACTGTCACCCTTGATCCTGCTTTTCCCCTCACCCCTCTGGGCGTATCCTCCAACGAAAAACATCCATAGCCAAGAGTCATCAATCATGCTCTCCAATTAGATTTTTGGACAACAGAAGCTTCAGTAATCTAATCAGTCTTTGAAGAAAATACGAATGGAATGTACTTTCGATTCCACACTGCCATCTGCTCTTTGAAACTACCCCACACTTCTTTCTGTTGTCAACTATAAAACGTGTATACAAAATGTTTTATGAGTTGACAGTAACAACCGGTTTGATGAGTGCCCACGATGCATTTGAAAATAGCAAGAAAACTTACCTTTTACTGCAGCCCCAGTGAGTAAAAACAGCTGAGGCTGCTGCACCACATCGGCTGGGCTTCAAACAAAGGAAATATAGGACGGAATATTGCCGTGGACAGGGCCAACTCATCACCGTAACTACCGGTTCACCCCGAACCAGTCTGTACCGGCTGAATCCCAGTCCAAAGGTCCGAGTTGGCATGGACCTCCTGTTCTCCAATCCCAACCTGGACTTCCCTCTTCAACTATCTTGAGCACGTTTGGATGCACAACCACTGTGATTGGTCTAGCCCTCTCTCAAACCACGCCTCCTCCTCGTCCCCTGCCTTGTGCCCCCCTCTAGCAGATAAGCTGATGGTGATGTTTGTGGGTGGGCAAGGAAAGCCAATCGTCTCCTGAACTTCTCCCGTATCTGATCTTCAGTGGACATTTTTTTGAGTTGCCACAACGAGGGTGGGTTGATGGTCCCGTTGGAGAATTTCCACTTGCACGAAATTGGGGGAGGGCAATTGAGGTCAGGAGGAGGGTCTTCCTCCCCAGAACTCCGATTCAGCTTTCAGAGAAAGGACTGAATTATTTTTGCAGGGCTCGTTCTTAAATTTGTGTTTGATGCCATCAAACCACAGAGAAGAGTCTGTTTTATATCTGACCTACATTCTTATGGTTGTCGTTTGTTTCTTTTGCTTTTGGTAGTTTTCATCTGGAGTTTTAAGCTGTTCTTGCGATTGGTGTACAATTAGACTGTATTAATTGTTCTTTTCTGTAAATGCCCTAAATGGGCTGAGATTCATCCCACCTCACAGGGGAAGAAGTTTGATATATATTTCAGCAAGGAACAAAACAACAAAAAGGTAAATCTCCTGTGACAATAATGACCTTCTGGAAGTAGGTTAAGATGGAGATGGTTGGTTTAATTAGGGTGCTGCAATAATTAAAATTGGGCATTTGAAGAAAGGGTGAGTTTGTTTATCCTGTGGGTGTTTTGTGATCCCTTAGCTGTATAGAGGGTTGGGCTGTGAGAACTTAGAAACCAAGGGGTCAAGAAAGGTCATCAGTTGCCCATTGGTGGGTGTTTCAAATTGGATGAAATGAGTCCTTGTTGAAAGTCCATCTACAATACATCCCCTCCACCTTGGCTTACCTGTCTTGGCTATGAGCTCAACACAATACTCATTCTTCTGTTGGTTGTTGGGTTCCCCTGAACCCCAAGCCAGGTAGTCAGTTGGGGACCTGTCTGTCCACTCCCAGACACGTTTCTGTAATGAAAAGGAAGCCACGATAACCTAGGAAGAGGCACTGGCTATAGAGGGCCCAGGGCAGATGGCAGGTGTCAAGGGGCAGGTCACCTAGAACCCCTTTCCCTCTCTTTCTCCGTCTAGCCAATTAACCTTAGTTGACCTGGAACAACTAGCCAGGGTTAAACTTGGTGAATGCCTCTCCTACTTCAGCTGGACAGTAGCTACACAATTCCTTGACGAAGACAAAAGAACTTACCTTGTTTGCATCATTCAGTCCGATCCAGACATCTCCACCAGTTTTGATATAGTCGGAGACATATTCAGCCAAGTCAACTGACTCTGTCTTGTTGTGGATGGATGCAAGATGGCAGCCTGGCTTGGATTTCCTGCAGAACATCTGGGAAAGGCAATAACAGAGAAAGGGATTTATTCATCAGAGAAGGAACAAAACAAACCCCCAAAACTTTAACCTTAGACTGTCTACTATTGACCTCTCACCCCTTTCCTAAGAGGTCTGTAGGGGGCGTGCATAAGCGCACCAACGTGCCTACCGTCCCTGTCCTATTGTTTCTTTTTATTTTTCTTATAAGTATCTATCTCATGTGTTCAAAACTATGTTTATTCTTATACCTGTATCTTGTAAGTGATTGACAAATCAAGTAAATACTAAAAAAATAAAAGTGTGACGTTTACGCGGTTTGATATTATTATTTTTTAAAGTATTAGTGTGTTTTTAATGCAACATCGTGTAAAGGAGGTGCGTGTCTAATTTTTCAGAGCAAATGTAGTTACATCTTAGCATGTTGTGATACCAGTAGAAAGTATTTGTGGAAGCTGCGTGTCTGTTATTTAACTGAGCAGCCATAATATTGCACCATTCAGCTTATATTAATTTTGCTTACATATCACTCATTTAAAAAATAACAGTTTGTATTTAGCTCTTAAAGCAAGCTTTAAGGAAAAAACATAATTCTAGGTTTTCCAATAGGGATATAGCAAGCATCAGGTTGCCACATATGAAGGTCAATAAGAACTTGGTTTGATATTATTAACTAATTATTGACAAATCTGAGCAGGGTTTAATTAAATAATGGAAAATAGGTAACAAAGATGAGTCAAGATCATGGTAAATAGACTTTGAGAATAATGCTTACAAATATTGTGCGTATAAGGTTTATTTTCTGTATTTGAAAGAGATTGTACCCAGACAGTGCACTGCCATTGTGGGTGTGGCAATTGTATATATAACAAAGAAAATTGCATAATAAAAAAAGGATGCTTTTCCTAGAGTCTGCAGCTGTTGAACAGTTCCTTACTTAAAAATTCATGATTCATTGTTTAAAATCTGAGATCCTCATCACTTCAGAGGCAAGGAAGATTGAGGATGCCAGTCAGAGTTGTCAGAGAGACATCAGGAAATCTCTTGTCTACAACACAGTCAACTCAACCCTGAAGTTCGACATTGCCCAACAGATACTGTTCATGAAAGCCTAAACTGGTATATCATCTAGAATACTTGCATTTCAGATTGTTCTAGAATCATGTTCATTGCTACCTTTTCATGCACCTACCCTAGTGGCCTTCCACTTCGTCCCAGCCAGAGTGTACTTGGGAGCTATGCAAGGCTCTGGCTAGGTTTCTCCCATGCCTGGGTGAGGAAATTCACAGACACACACAACACTTCTAACCTCTGCGTCATTCCAGGTCTTGAGCTCATCATTGACATTGTAGCAAAACCCATTCATGGGCAGCCAATCATTGGGACAACAACAGCCCTTCACTCCTAAGTGGGAAGAGAGAAAGTCCAATGAGAGGATGGCCAGGAGAAGAGGAGGAGGAGGAGATAGTTGAGTCTGCAGGACATTCTTAACTTGTTGGGTTGCAAACATCTTTGATGACAATAAATTGTTGGGTTGTATTTGCAAATTTTCCAAACATGGTTGTTGTTGATCGGTGGCTAAGTCATGTCTGACTCTTCACAACCTGTTGGACAATATCATGTCATTCCCCCTGTCATCCACTCCCCCTGACTTAGCCCAAACTCATCTTCATGGCATTGATGGCATTATCTAACCATCTTCTGTCCCCTTCTCTTTTTGCCTTCCCCCTTTCCCAACCTCAGGGTCTTCTCCAAGGAGTCCTCTCTTCTCATTTGATGACCAAAGTATTTGAGCTTCAGCTTCACTATCTATCCTTCTCAAAGAAATGTGGGTTAGCTTAGGTTAATTTTCTGGATGCTGAAAGTCTTGGGTGAATCTTTCTGCTTTGGTTGGTGTATCATTCAGGGAATTGTGTAAATGGGCTAAGCCAGAAACTGGATTCCTTCAAGAACCGGGCTGTTGACTGGGGCAAAATAGGGGAATCACGTGATTTAGTTCTGGAAGATCTGCACTGACCTTTGGATGACCTGTAACTGCCCAAGAGAGATTATTGATGGGATTGCTCCAATGCAAGGAGTGGGAAGCACTAAACTTTTAATGACAAATGCGTGTATATTTTGCCAAGCCATTAATTATGTTCAGGATGGTGAATTGTAATTGTATTCAAATGCCTCCACAAACCTGAGAGGCCTTGCTTGGACTCACCACTGAGGGAGATGGCCACCACCAGCAAACTGAGACTCACGAAGGAAAATTGCCCCATGGTTTTCCTCCCTTTCCTGCAGAGAGTAAAAATAGCAACAGCACTTAGCCTTATACAGCACTTCACAGGGCTTTACAGCCCCCTCTAAGCAGTCAACCTGTTGCCCCCAACCATCGGGGGTCCTCATTTTACCCACCTCGGAAGGATGAAAGGCTGAGTCAACCTTGAGCCAGTGAGATTCGATCTGCCAAATTGCAGGTGGGCAGCAGAAGTAGCCGGCAGTGCTGCACCCTTAACCACTGCCAAGGAGGGGGAGCCAAACTCATTGAAAAGCTCACTCGGGAAGGGAGACTGTCCCACCCAGGTTCAAGCTGAGAGGTCAGTAGTTTGTCCCCAGTTTTGCACTAGCCCAGCCGGATCCCCTTTCTCGCACCATGGTCATTCAACATCCTCCGTGGGTCACACTGGATCCTGCATTGTTCTGTAATCAGCAAGGGGGCTCAGAAAGACTCTCTCTCTCTCTCTCTCTCTCTCCCAGAGAACACCCAACAGATCCCTTGCTCTCTGCCTAAGGGATCATCCCACAGACCCCCTTCTGGAATCTGAAGCAACTTTAAAGAGGTCCTTTCAGATGGAGAGAGACAGACACGGGAATGATCTTCTGCAAGGACCTCACCTGCCATGTCTCCCCAGCTGGGAGGGCAGCACTCACCTGTCCCTAAGGATGTGTCAGTCCTACTCGGGCTCCTTGTCTGGAGGGTTGAAGCCCAACTAAACACCCCGAGGTGGAGACTGAAGCAGGACGATGTTGCTCTGTGCAGAAGGAGAACATGGGGAGGTTGTCTTCAGCCAGGTCTTTTATGCCCCCAAACCACAAAACCCGCAAACATGAACATCAGATTGTCATGTGTTGCCCCCTTTTCCTGTTAACAGCTTAAACCCCCACAGCAGTTAGAAACACAGACACACGTGTACATATAGGCCATCCAGAAGCATTCACAATCTAGCTGTCGTTTCAGCCAGTTGGCATGTCCTACAGGCTTTGTTTAGTAATATTTGAGCAATATTTGTGAGCCTGTGGTTTTGCTCCCTCTCGCATGCCTTGCACCTAGAGCACAGTGAGGGTTACACAAAGGAAGCGATGCCTCTGGCCCTGGGTTTTTAGGATGTTATAACTCTCCTGCTTAGCCCAACTATCTCATCCATGCATCCCCAGGCAAAGTTATGTAATTTATAGGTTTAACAAAGCTGATTGATTCTTTCGGTTGCAATCTTAGTTTTCCCTGATCACATCTGGCTCCTTGGATAGCAAATCTGATGCAGAAGCAAGTGGGGGAATGTATAGACGGGGCAAAGACAAGGCAAGGGAATGGATTTCTTTTTTTGGTGGGGGGTTGGTGAAGATAGAGACAAATTGCTTGATATCAGAAGGAATTTTATATCTAAAAACCAGGAAGTAGCTTATTTGCATGAAACATCTAGTAATAGGCTAAAGACGGACAACTTGTATCCCTGGAGGTGAGTCTTATTTATTTAAAACATATATATAATTGCAGAACTTATATTGAATTCTGGGTGGCTTCCAGTCAACAATTTAAGCTACATCAATCATCAAACAATACATTCATCTATTAAAACATAATAACAAAAACATAACATGGCGCTAAAAAACAAAGACGCTTCACTATACTACAATAGCTGGAATTGTTGGTATAATTGGATTGACCAAAGATAAATTATATATCATAAGGCATAAAAGAAAAGTATCAACTCATAATAATGAGGTAGTGATATAAGTTAAAAACAGGTGTGGTTATATGACACAAGTTAAGGTTATGAAAACAAAAGAAGATCTTGCAAACTATTAAAATAAGAATACTTTTTACCTTGTAACCTCTTTCTTTCTTTCTTTCTTTCTTTCTTTCTTTCTTTCTTTCTTTCT